CCCCTCTGTTGCGATGCCGTGGTGCTGTCCTGCACTCTCTGCACTTTGACGGTGCCACAAGGGCTCGCGTTGATGTCACACACAGACCCGCGTCACAGGCAGCCCCAGAGCGCTGGTCCACTTCAATGACGGGCAGTGGAGACGGGGCAGTCTGAGCCCCCGGGGAGGGCGGGGCCATGGAGGGGCCCACGCAGTCACTCCTGCAGGGACAGGGCTGTCGGGGCCTCACCGGGCTGGCTCTGTGGCCGGGACGGCAGCGTTTGGGCTGCAGCACCCCGAGGGCAGGGGACTGTCTTCCAGACAGAGCTCCGAGGCCCCTGCTTTCCTGTAAGGTCCCCCACAGCTGGCTCCACGTGGGGGCACGGCGGGCTTCCAGGGCCTGTCCCGGCTCCTGCACGCCGGTTCCTGCACGCTGGGTCAGCGCCTGGGCCCGCAGCCAGCGGGATTAGCTGCTCCGTGCACAGCGGCACGGCGGTTCCACACGGCTGCGCCCTCGCAGGCAGCCAGCCAGCCAGCCATGCCCCCCGACAGCGACCGGGAGGGACACGCTCTGCGCCACGCGGGCGCGTGGGTGACCGTGGCCTGCCGCTGCCAGTCTCTGCCCTCCGGCGCCAGCAGGCTCCTGGTTTCTTCCCTGCTCGTCTTCGCCGTCAGGGCCACTGTCGTGGGGGAGGAAGGACGCCGTCGGACGGTTTAAGCCGCGACTGTATCTAACTGCGGAAGCGTCCAGGCAGGCGAGTCCCCGCCGGGCTCGAGGCGGCCGCAGAGTGGCAGGGCCTAGCACGGACACTGTCACCGAGTCCAACGTTCCCTGCGGCTCCGGGAGGCCACGCTCGTCACCCAAGCCGGCGTCCGAAATTCTGAGCCGTGTCCCCCGCGGGACAAGGCAGTGGAGACGGAGGAGGAGGATGCTTCTCTCGAGGAAAAGTGAGTGGCGGTGCACCAGAAAAAATGAATGGTTTTGGTGCACGCCCTGTCCTTGGTTAGGAGACCACGGCCGAAAGAAAAATAAAAATAGAAATAAAACGGAGTTTGAAAATTAAAGAAACAGAAATAAAAAGACTGCGTAGACCATTATCTCTATAAGGATAGTCTTATTTCGGTAAGAATTCTCCTTTCCGGCTGGGGATGAATAAATGACATGGAAAAACACTGTGATTTTCTCGGTGTCCCACGTCACGGCTGCCCGTGACAACCGCCGAGACAGAGGCTTCCGGAAGCGCAGAGGAGCCTGGAGCTTTGAGTCTTCTCAGGGCAGCACGCCCCGCCCCCGTGGGCCCCCCGCCGGGCACAGGTCAAGCCCCCCAGCCCCCACCGTGACACGGGGTTTCTAAACGCTAATCTCCTTGTCTCTCCAAAGCACAAACCTCCTCACACCCCCCTGCTCCTGAGAGACGGAATATACAAAAGGGACGGTGGCCGGAGCGTGTATACAGATAGCACTCTGGCCCCCACCTGAGCACCTGCCCAGGTAACCGGCTCACCTGCGACACACGGCCCCGGAGGCGGTGCTGACAGCCAGGCCTGCAGGAGGCCAGACTGCGCCCCAGTGACTTCCAGGGGGTAAACCACGACCTCGGTGACAGTCGGCCCCAGACGGCCAGGGCCTGGCCGGAGAGTGGCAGCTCCTAATTCTCGTCCCTGCTTCCAGCCCGGGTCCGGCCAGAGACGGCCACAGACGCTGCCAGCCAGTCCCACAGGCGCCCACTCCAGCTCCCGCCTGCAGCGGCCCTGGCCCCGGCCCCCATCGGGGCGTACCTGGCGCCTTCTCCCGCACCGGGAAGCCCTCCGCGTGGACTGACAAACGCAGGGGACGGTGGCGGACGCACTGCCGGCAGCAGGCCCTGGATAAGCAGCCCTGCCCGGCTCACTCGGCGGGCCTGTTATCTCCACGCTCCGGGCGCCTGCGGCTGCTCTCTGCCCTGCGCGGGGCCTGGACCCTGCTGGACACCCCCACGCTGCCCCCCGCCCCAGGGCCTGCTGGCCTCCCTGGCTGCTCCTGCTCATCCCTGTCTTCTTCCCCCTTCCCTCCGCCCTGGCCCGGCCCCAGCGGCTGATTTCACCCTCACTGCAGTTTCCATCCGGAATCTTCCGTGACGCCTGGGCACGGCCCCTCGGGCCCGCTGGGAGCTGGGACGCAGGCCCAGGGTCAGTGAGGTGGACGCGCCCGGCCCTCCCTGGGTCCCCGCCACCTCCTGGGCGGGTCCCAGCAGCACTGCGGAGCCTGGCCCAGCACCCTCCGGGCAGGGCGCTGACCCGCCGCCCGTCCCAGCCCCGTGAGGTGTAAGGGACACTGCACGGCGGCCCCTTCCTCCTGGGGCACGGCTGTCGTGGCTCTGTCCCCCCCAGGGCACCTTCCGACGCGACCGCAGTCTCCGCTCAGGGCGGCAAAGCGGCGGCGGCCGGTAACTCGGCTGAAGGCAAAGTAACCGGCACAGCTGCGCCAGCCGCACACTCAGCTCTGCGGCAGCCACGCTGCACTTGCTGGCCTCTGGGCCGGGGCGTGACGGGGACGGCCTGCAGCCTCAGTGACGACGGGAGCTAGGTGCTCGGGATGGGGAGGGCCCCCTCCCCCCTCCTGTCCGCACCCACCAAGCTGGACCGCACAGGCGACCGCACAGGCGGCCCCACAGCGAACTCGGCACGCCTGGGGACAGGGGTGGGGCGAATGAATGAACACGCCCCGAGCTTGCAAAGCTCCATGGGCGACGGGGCTGTGCCAGTGGGTGGCGGGAGCTCCACACGGCCTGGTTGGCGTCTGGGACATGTGGACCCACCCGGCCAAGGCTGCACTGTCAGCTGGGGGCCCAGGAATATGCAATTATTAGAGAATATATGAACATGCAAATTATTAGAGAAGAAAGTCAAGATAAATTCCTGTAGAGTTCACCTCTAAAAATTTGCATCTATTAACTATTTATAAACCAGTTGCCGTCACATTAAAGCTATCATACATAAAGTCTGTATTCTGTAAGAGTTTTTCCTTTTTTATTATTTATTTATTTATTTGTTGATTGATTGATCTTTTCCCCATTATCAAACATTAAGTGCTTGACTTGTAAATCTGGACCAAGCTGAACCCACTGGCGGCGGCCACGGCTTCTCAGCAGGCTTTATGTGTGTGGTGTGTGGTGCTCAGGCCCAGCCACTGCCGGTGACACAGGACTGTGTCTTGGGGGCTCTGCAGTGGTTTGGGGATGTGGCTGGTGCCCACCAAAGCTCACATGAAATTCGGACCCCGAGCAGGTGATGTGGGAGCGGGCCCTGGCCACTTGTGGAAACTTGTGTGGCTTGGTCCATGGGGGTTTGGTGTGACCGTGGGTGCTCCCCTGGGCATGTGGCCCAGTTCACAAGAGCCAGTCATTTTCGAGAGTGTGGCTTTTCTCCTCAGTTTCTCTCTCCCGCTCCCTCTCTCTTGTGCTTTGTGGCCTCTGCACTACACTCTGAACCCCCCTCCTTTATCCCCAAGTGTAGGCAGCCTGATGGATCACCCACCTAGGACGCAGCTTGCCTCCAGCTTGGATCTTTCCAGTCTTGCAGAAACCGTGCACCGAATAAACCTCTTTCCTCTTGTAAACTTACGCCGGACTCAGGGGTTCTGCTGTAGCAATTGATGGATGGACTAAGACAGCTCTTGTCACCCTGCAGCTCTGGCCAGGGTGTGCACAGAAGAAAAGAACAGGAATGAACACCCAACCCCACCCCCACCCACCCCGTGCTCCTGAACTTGACCAGTGACCATCACACGCTCTGTTTTCTTGTGTGACACACAGGATTTGTGAAAGAGTACATTGGGGGATTTTGTTCTGACATTATATTAAATGTTATAGGCATACTTCTATAATTCAGAAATCCTAGATATATTTAGTTTCTACATTAGCTCAATTTTGATGCTTAGAGCAAGTTTATTCTTTAGCTTTTTTTTTTTTTTTTTTTGCCAAGATTAATGCCCTCAGGGTGAGCGGGTTCTCCCCGGGAGTGGCGTCCCGTGCTAGCCCCAAGCCCGTCTGCAGGGCCCACCTGCGCCCTGGGCTCGGCCGGCATTCCAAGCGTGCTGGGAGTTAGTTACAAACGATGTCTAAAGATTCATAATGTCAAACTGTCACTTGTCCGTTTTTTAAACACTTGAGGGTTGGGGAAATGTTTCCTCTGTCTTTGGAGACGTGGGAAGGCGCCTGTCATCTGCTAACGTCCCTGTGTCACAGGCCGGGGGGTTCCCCACGTCACCTCTTTGCCGGGAGTGGCTGTGATCATCCGTGAGCAGATTCCGGGGCCCGGGGGGGGGGGAATACACGCAGCCGGACCCCGTGCAATGTCTGAGTTTCTGAGAGCATGTGGTCCCTTTGGTGTTGGCTTTTTCTTGGGGTTCACACGGAGTGACCCCAAGGCCTCCTCTTCTCACTGGAACCTCAGCGGCCGCCCCCTCCCCCCCGCCGCCACCTCTCTGGGGCCACCGTCTTTGTTCTAAACCGTTAATCTCGTTGAACTGCACCCTGAACCCACCTGCTTGTATAGGAATATTTAACACCTAATGTAAAATCTACTAGTGTTTTCAGAGAGCCGACGTCCTCCTGAAATTCCCGCCAAGCTGCCTTCGCCCTGGGGGGCTCCAGGAGTTCCACAGGCCCCAGGGACACACCCAGGACTTCGGGGCCCACCCACCCACCTTGACCGCGCGTGTGGGTCATCCAGGAGGCGGTTGCTTCCTGAACTGGAAATGCTGCCCACCCACCAGGCGGCTTGGGTGAAAACTCCACTGTCTCTCGCCCTGGAAAGTGGAGGGAATTTTCCTTTGGAAAAACAAACGCCAATAAAAAGTTATTTTTTTTCAAAAGACTTTCATGCTCAACTTACCTGTCTTGGAACCAGAGTTTAGACTCTTCCCCGGATAAAATGGATCCTGCCCGGCCAGGGCCAGCGTGTGTCCACGTGTGGGAAGGGCTGTGGTTTATTGAGCGCCGACTATGTGCCAGGCAAGGAAACGAGGAGGTCAAAGGAAACAATTTTTAAAAAATGTTCATTTTATTCCAGAAGGTAATGGCATAACCGGAGCGTTTATCCACACTGAGAGCCTAACGCGGGTTCAAGTTCAACGTCCATGGCGCAGTCCTGCGACTGCCGCCCGGGCAGGATCTCAGGGGAGGGATGATGGGAAAAGACGGGGACACAGGCCGGTCAAGGGGACAGACGGTGAGAGCCACGTGTGGGACCCCAGCCCAGGACAGAGACATGGGGGACGCTGGAAGGACAGCATGGCGGCCAGGGTGGCTCACAACATCCGAAACTTCAAAGCTGTCCGCAAACGTCCTCGCCGGGGTGGGGACAGTCACCCCCAGAGCTCCTGGCCGTCCTCACGGGCACAGCCGTCTGACCCGCGAGCCCCTCTGCATGCTGAGCGGCCTGGGGTGGCCCAGAGCCTGCCGCCAGGCGCCAGCGGTGCCCACCGCTCACACCAGGGTCATGACCTTCAGCGCGGCCGGCTGGAACCTGCGGATCTTCTTCTTCAGCGCCCGGGAGGCCTTCACGCGGCACAGCTTGGGCACGGGGGGCAGGGGTGGCCTCGAGCCCCCCGGGGGTCCCGCCCGCGGCCAGGCCCACTGCCCCCGCCCGGCCGCCCCGCAGTCCCGCGCCCGGCCGCGGCTCTGGACGCCATTCTCAGAGTCGCTGCCGCCGGACTCCCGGTCCCCGAAGCGGTTGGCCGTGTGGTCGCTGGCCTCCTCCCCGCTGGTCTCCGCAATGGTGGAGTGGGCGAGGGAGGCGCAGTCCGCGGAGTGCTCGGAGGGGTCCGACTCGCTCCCGGCCCGGGCGTCCTGACGGGCCAGCGAGGGCCTGCCCTGGGCCCAGGGGCCGCCTGCTCTCCGGGTGGCCGGCCTGGGCGTGCCGGGGCTGGGCTGGGGACCGCGGGCGGGGCTGGCCCCAGCTGAGATCTCCACGGTGGACTGCCACCTGCGCTGCCTCCCCCGGGCCGCCCCGCCCAGAGGGGCAGCCGCCAGGGGGAACAGGGCGTGGGCCGCGCCGCACCTCTCCCCGGGGGCCACCACCAGCGGCAGGAGCACGGGCACCGGGTAGAGGGTGGACTCTGAGCAGGAGCGCCCGGGCGCCTCCCTGGCCTGGGGGGGCCTCCTGAGCCCGCCCAGCGCCTGGGCCCGGCGGGGAGGGCCCCATTCTGGGGGGAGCCAGGGAGCCGCGTGGGCACCCCACTGCCTCTCTGGTGCCGGGGCCACCTGCTTCCCGGACCTCGGCACCTTGTCACCAGACCTTCTCCTGACCTTCGCGGCCTTTGTCTTGGGCTGGCCCGAGTCTGGCCTGGGCGGGGAAGCCTCCCTGGCAGGGAGGGGCACCGAGGCCAGAGGGCGGCTCGGGTCTACCTGCTGGGATGGCCACACGGCCGGGGGACGCTGCCAGGCCTGGGGGCCGGGCGGGGGGCTCCCAGCGGCCTCCCCCAGGACACGGCGACTGCAGGGCCTGGGCCCCTCCTCGGGGGGGCTGCAGGGGTGCCGGGTGCCCACGAGGGGTGCGGGTCCCTGCTGCGGGGGGCTGTCCCCACTGGCCGCCCTCCCTGGGCCCGAGACCAGCCTCTGGAGCCAACCTTCCCTGTCCATCCTCACGCCGCCCCCCGGCTCCCGTGGGGATGGGGACACCTCCCGCCGCGGGGGGCCCTGCTCCCCCACACCGCCCCTTGGGGGGGTCCCGCAGCCCCGCAGGCGCAGCAGCCTGTCGATGTAGGCTCTGGCCGTGCCGGCCTCCGGGACGGGCCCGGTCCGCACGGTGCAGGCACCCGTGGGGCCCTGGAGGGGCTTCCCCGGGGGCGAGGGGCCGTCGCTGCGCAGGCTCTCGGGGGCCAGCGCAAACAGGGGGCTCTGCAGGGCCACCGCGTGCAGGGGGCTGGGGTACGGGTACACCTCCCTGCCCCCCTGCCACACCAGGTCCCGCTGGAAGTGGGGGTCGGGCGTGCGGGGCGGGGCGTCGGTGCCCGGGCGGGGGGCCGGTGGCGCCTGGGGGTCCGTGCCGGCCTTCTGCAGCCCCGCGCCCGCTGGCTGGGCTCGGTCCAGGTCACCTGGGGGGGGGGACACAGGAATCAGTGAGAGGGCGAGACGCGCCGTGAGCTCACTTTGCTCCTGGCAGGGGACAGGCTCGTCCTCCTCGTCCGGGACCTCCAGGGTGCAGCGGACAGCCCCGGACCCAGCCGCTGCGGCAGTGCGGCGAGGCGTGGAGACCGAGTCTGTCTGCGTCAGACCCATCACCCCCACGGGGAAAGCCCGGAGCCCCCAACCAGCACCCCGACTTCACCAGGGAGCGAGGGTGCCAGGAGGTCTACAGCCCACTGGCGAGGGGTCCAGGTGGGGCTCCCACGGACACCCGGAGGACGCCAGCCGGGAATTCCCACCGAGGAAGACGAGGGCTCGTACTAGAAATAAATCGAGGCCCCACCCGGCACCTTCCCCTATTTAGGGACAGTCTGAGCAGCACAAGGACGTCCCTCCCCGGCTGTGCGTGGGGCCCGCTGTGAGCTGAACAGCCTCTCCAGGAGTGCTCTCCACTATCCCACTCCAAACACGGGCAGACCGAGGAGACTGGAAGGGTTTTTGAAAAAATTTCCTGACGTGCATTTTACCACTTGGGTACCAGCGCTGACTGTAATCGAAAGCCACAGATGAACGTGCACAGCTGAGCGTCGACTGTAGCCGACAGCCGCGGATGAACACGCACAGCGACTTTAGCCAACAGCTGTGACATGAAGGTGCACAGCCGAGCGTCGACTGTAGCCAACAGCCGCGGATGAATGCGCCAAGCAGCTGTGACATGAAGGTGCACAGCCGAGCGTCGACTGTAGCCGACAGCCATGATACGACTTTTCTAATTTTTCATTTATCAAAATAAAATTGTGAACATTTAAAAATAACGTAATGAAAACATGTCTGTCTGTGTTACCTATTCTGATTTACGTGACGAGGAAAGCTGCCTGTAAAGTGAAACAAGCTCTCGGTGCTTTCAAGCTGTCCTCGTCACACAAGAGCAGAACGGCCGCGTCATCAACGCGCAGCGCAGACCCCCGCGCGGACTGCGAGTGCGGCTGTGGGCGAGGGGTCGCGGCCAGTGAGCGTGGTCCCGAAGTGGTTGAGTAATAAGAGGCAAATGCCCTTCGCCAGGATAGCCGTCTACGAGGGCTGTGTGACCGCTACTCCACCCGAGACACCCGGAAGGCCCAGGGGGGACTTCGCGCAGCGTGTGCCTGGCTGGTCCCCGAGTGGGTCTCCCCGCTTGACCTGGGCGGGCTGTGGGGCTGCGTGCTGCGGGCACCATCACCACCACCCTCAGACGGGCCACCCCGCTTCCTGGCCGTGTCTCACCTGTGGACACCGGCCGGGGCCGGAACATGCCCCACGGCTGGCCTGTGCCCCCCGCCGTGCCCAGGGGCCCGCTGCCGTCCTCGGCGGCCTGGGGCCTCCACACCGACACGGAGGTCTCGTCCGCCGACCGGGGCCGCCAGTCCCCCACGCAGGGCCTGGCCGAGGCGGGCTGGGCCGCGGGCAGCAGCGTGCCCAGGGAGGGGGACACACGGTCGCTGCAGACGGAGGCGCAGGAGGTGGACAGGGAGCAGGAGCCGCCGTCACTCAGCTCGTAGAAGCCTGGTGGAGCAGACACGGGCAGGTCAGTGCACCCGGGGGGGGGGGCGCCCTCCTCTGGGTTCCTGGCACGGCCGGGAGGGCTGAGGGAGCCCGAGCTGGGTCCCAGGGTCTGTCTGCGTTGTCGGTCGGAGCCGGCTTCACCCCACCCCACAGCGCGACCCGGGCCTGGCCATCCCCACGAGCATCTGCCATGGCAGAGCCGACCTCCGCCTCGCTCCGGAGGGAGGGGCGCTCGTGTGGCCTTCTCCACCGAAAGGAATGCTCTTCTCTCGCACGCGTGCGTGTGAGCACGCCCGCTCCCTCTCTGTCTCTCTCTCTCTATATATATGCATGCATATACACTCTCTTTTCATTTTTAGCGTTGTTCAATAGCACATGCTTTTGGGGCTCAAATGTTGCCTCCTGACTTTTAGATCTGCCCGGGAAATAGGCCGGGGACTCCTCACTGCATTGCATGCTGGGAAGTGCTGGCACTTGGCGCTCAGGCCCCGAGAGGGGCTGGTGGTGGGAGGTGTCACTTCTGCACACGCTGTGCTGGCCGCCGGGGCGTGCTGCAGGGCGGGGCCTCACACACCCTGCACACGTCGCACACGTTGCACACCTCGCACATGTCACACACCTCATACACCCTGCACACCTTGCACATGTCACACACCTCACACACCCTGCACACCTCACACACCCTGCACACCTCACACACCCTGCACACCTTGCATATGTCACACACCTCACACATGTCACACACCTCACACACCCTGCACACCTCGCACACCCTGCACACCTTGCACATGTTGCACACCTCACACACCCTGCATACCTTGCACATGTCACACACCTCACACACCCTGCACACCTCACACACCCTGCACACCTTGCACACCCTGCACACCTTGCACATGTTGCACACCTCACACACCCTACACATGTTGCACACCTCACACACCCTGCACACCTCGCACACGTTGCACACCTCACACACCCTGCACACCTCGCACACGTTGCACACCTCACACACCCTGCACACCTCGCACACGTTGTACACCTCACACACCCTGCACATGTTGCACACTTCACACACCTCACACACCCTGCACACCTCGCACACCCTGCACACCTCGCACACCCTGCACACCTTGCACATGTCACACACCTCACACACCCTGCACACCTTGCACATGTCGCACACCTCACACACCCTGCACACCTCACACACCCTGCACACCTCACACACCCTGCACACTTTGCACACCCTGCACACCTCACACACCCTGCACACCTCACACACCCTGCACACCTCACACACCCTGCACACCTTGCACATGTTGCACACCTCACACACCCTACACATGTTGCACACCTCACACACCCTGCACACCTCACATACCCTGCACACCTCGCACACGTTGCACACCTTGCACACCCTGCACACCTCACACACCCTGCACACTTTGCACACCCTGCACACCTCGCACACCCTGCACACCTTGCACATGTCGCACATCTCACACACCCTGCACACCTCACACACCCTGCACACCTCACACACCCTGCACACCTCACACACCCTGCACACCTTGCATATGTCGCACACCTCACACACCCTGCACACCTTGCACATGTTGCACATCTCACACACCCTGCACACCTCACACACCCTGCACACCTCACACACCCTGCACACCTCACACACCCTGCACACCTCACACACGTTGCACACCTCACATACCCTGCACATGTTGCACACTTCACACACCTCACACACCCTGCACACCTCACACACCCTGCACACCTCACACACCCTGCACACCTTGCACATGTTGCACATCTCACACACCCTGCACACCTCACACACCCTGCACACCTCACACACCCTGCACACCTTGCACACCTGCACTCGGCCGGCCTACCTGAGCTGGGCCGGCTGTCGCTGTCCAGGGCCTCGCCAGGGGCAGTGCCCACGTCCAGCTGCAGCCGGCTGATCTGCTGGCCCAGCTGGTCCAGGTGGGTCCCCAGGCCGACGTCCTGCTGCCGCAGCCGGGCCTGAGGAGGCAAAGTGAGAGACACGCCCATGCGCGTGCAGAAACCGAAGCTAGGGCGGGACGGGGTGCAGACGTCTGCGTCAGGAACACAGGCTGAACCCCCAGACCCACGTGAAATCCGCCTCCTCACTCTGACAGCGGCACCTGCTCACACCCAGGCAGGCTCCTCGCTCTCTGCACTTGGAAAGAAAAGAGGCCTCCTGGCCCTCCCCGTCCCACCCCCGTACGGGTTTTCCCCGCCAACTGCAGACTGTTTTACTCGTCGGCAATTTGAATTAGACATTTCTTCACAAGGGCACAGAATGACACAGCTGTGAGAGGTGAATCAGGTCGGAACAGCACAGAGGCGCTGCCTCTCGGCAGATGGGTGACAAGAAGTCTCCACCTTTTGCTGAGTTCCCGTTCTTGGATCTAAAGGAGAGTTTCCCGTCCTGTGCTGAACACTTCCACTTTCCAAGGGGGAAGAAAGTCCCTGGGAAAGAAACAGACCCTCCCCTCCACGGCCCCCTCAATGTTAAGCCCCTTCTCCCTCCCTGACCTCACAGGTAAGGTTCTGAACTGGGAGGACGGGTTTTGGCAGAAAGATGGAAAACATCACGTTAGCCCGCTGTGAGTGCAGCCTGCGGATCTGCAGTGAGGCCCTTTCTGATGTGAAGCTCACATCTGTGTGTGTGCGTGTGCACATGCTTCAGATGAGCATATGTCCACGTGCACACGTAAATAATGTTTGCAAAATTAGCCCCGTGTGTTTAATAAACGCTGATTTCTTCCATTCGACTGCAGCATTCCACCTGTTTTCAAGGTCCTCTGCACACATTTCTCGTTTTGATTTACTATTAGGTTTAAGGCAAACAGTTAACGAATATAATTTCGTGGTTCGCCCTGTTAGGAAAATGATTAATTACACTTTAATTTTACATGGGATATTAGGGGTTCCCCCGAGCCCCATAATCACTCCAGTAATTTCAGCAATGTGAGAACTCATCACGCGCGAGCAGCAGGCGGTAACGGTTTCTGTCCTTACGGGAGAGTTAGTTCTGCAAGTGCCAGTTACCACCGTCAGTCAGTGCCAGGAGGTGCGCCAGCCGTGCGGCCAGGCTGGACGTGCAGGTGTGGAGGAGCCCGTCCGACTCTGCCCTTCCCCACGACCTAACTCGGGGGTCTCCCAACACCCCCCCAGGGCTGTGCCCAGAAACAGAGCTTGAAGCCATAAAGCCACCTGCACGCGTGTACACGGCAGAGACCAGTCCTGGCTCTGATCAGCATCGGAGGCTGCCAGTGCACCCAGACTGGCCTCGACGCGCCGGCCTCCTACCCTGCGCGTCTCTGCAAAAGCAGCACGTCGCCAAGTGGACGGCACCCCACAAAGGCCAGCGCGGCACGCAGGGGCAGGCTCGGGCCGGCCCAGCAGCACCCAGGCAGAGCAAGCTCAGATGCGAACAAAGGGGCCAGCACGTGCTCTCTCTGCCAGTGACTTTTTATCTTCCTGTCATAAAACAAAGCCCATGGTACGCACGGAAAAACTAAGCTGCTTGGCCAGGCCACGCCTCGCTGTTTAAAAACACGCGTCTGACCTCTTCTCTTCCAGCTCCCGACTTTCTCCTCCTCCTGGAGGAGGAGGGCTCTCTGCACTCGGGGTGGGTGGGGTGGGTCCTTCCCTGCATCTCCAACCCCCTTTCCATCAAGCAGAGCCCCCAGTGTTTGTGCCGGGTTAATTGCTTTGTGATTAATGTTTGGCCAGCCCGGCCCTCGGTGGCTGGTTTGTGATTAATGGTCCAGGGGCTGCAGGCTCCCGGGGGCCCCCAGGTTATTTATTGCATCCTCGGACCTGTGTGCAGACTCCACGCCCAGGGTGTCCCAGCCCGTTAACCCTCCCCGCTGTCCCTACCTTGGGGTCTCCTGTGTCTGTCCTGCCTTGCTCACAGCCAAGTCCCCGTGCGGCAGGACTGAGCACAGTCCAGTGCAAAGCCAGCCACAGACCTGCGTGACTTCCACGGCCAGAAGGAGCCCTCTGCAGCAGCCAGCTGTTGGGCTGCCTCAGTTTCCCACCTCCCTGCAGGTGTCAGGCTAACTTCAGGGTTCTGCTGCTTGGGGTGTGATCAGGGGCACTTGTGTCAAATCCTCTGAGCATGGGCAGGGGTCAGAGCACCTGGTGGAGAGCGCAGTGCGCCACCCATGGCTCCCGGGGGGTCCCCCCGGGGCACAGCTGCGGACCCCACTCCAGGCCCACTCACTCGCTACGCTCTCCAGGGCAAGCCGGGGAACATGCATGTGAACAAGCCTCCCAGGGACCACAGAAGTTTCTATGACCACAAAAAGTTCGAGAACTTCTATACCAGGGGTCTCATTAAAAACAACTATTTGGCTGATGCCTTTCTTCGAAACACTGACCTCGTGTGTCACAGAGAACAACCTGAATCCCATCTGTTCCTCACCCCCCCCAACATGACAGCCACAAAGAAACTTTCGCGGCACATTGCAGGGACAAAACCTAAAAAGGCCCTCGAGTTCCGGATACAGAGATGGTATCTTTCCTTGAGAGCCAAGAACGCACACAGGAAACACTTCACGCATGAACTCGCAGCACGAGTTCATGCGTTCTGCAGGGGGGCGAGCGTTACTACCCAATGGAGAGGAGTGGTCAGTGAGGGGTCCCTCAGTGGTCGGCGAGGGGCCGGGGTCATAGACCACTCAAGGATACCTGCACCGCTCACGGCGCAAGAAGCCCTGCGGGTCCTGCAATGCCCGGCTCCCGACCCCCGGCGAGTTCCCTACCCTGCCTCCCGGCCCCTGTGTGTCCAAACTGCACGCACAGTGGGTCCATGGAAAATACCAGGCATCGGTGTTTGCAGCTGCAAAGTCAGACCCATAGCTGGTTCTTGCAACACTGGATGCTGGGACCTGCCAGAGAGAAGCCGGCGCTGCGAGCTGCCACTTTTACAACAAGCCACGACCAGCAAAGTCAAGATCGGGGAATTCTTTAGGATAAGGTTTCACTGTGGAGTCCCCCGGGGCGGGGGTCCTTTCTCTACTTCCCCCTCCAGGGCACCTCCCACCGACTCGGCAGCACCCACTGGCGGAAGACGGAGTTTTCAGCCTACTCTCAGGTCCTGAGGACGACTGCGTGCATGGTGTCTTTCTACCTGAGTGCTGTTGGCGGCCGCGCTCAACCCTCCTAACAGTGGGAGTGCCGGCCCCTTCTTGGGGCATGACGTAAGCCGGTGGGCACGGCCAGCTCTGCCCAGACAGTGACGGCCTGCGAGGGCCGGAGAGTTTCATCGGCTCACACACCCGGCGTGGGGAGATCCCAGACACTGGAATCATCTTCCCTTTTGCTCCGGCAAGAAAAACCACTCACTGATTGTTGCAACCAAATCTTGCTATGCACCCACTGCTGCTCTCTCTTTGGGGACTTTGGACACAGCAGTAATCATCATGCAACCATGCGGCACACTTGATAAGGCACAATGTGGCCAACGCTGCCGTTTTCCTAATGACGCTGGGAAATGTCTCTAATCCCTAGAAATCCTAGAACTGCCGAAGCTCATTCTCACTCCAGAGTTCCTGTGGGCAAAGCTGCTGAGGTCGGATAAACGTTCTTCCTGTCTTGCACCTGGATGGACCCGTGGCCAGGGGAAGGCCAGGGTCGGGGAGGGACCCTGGGTTCACTGGCGTTGCCAGAGTGTGTGCGGACTGGCGAGCAAAGCATTTTGATTATATTCTACACGGCAGAATTATCATCACTCCTAATTTTTTCCCTGTAAGAAGAGTGTCAAAGTACTGAGCCCTGGGCTGACGTCACATCAATTCAACTATTCTTCTCTTTTGATCACATACTCCATTCTAAGAACAAAGTTTCAAGACAAAGTCTGCCTGTTCCTTCTGGTCCCCACATTAAAAAAAAAAAAAAAGAAAGAAAAAATTAAACAACAAAAAAAAACCTGTTTGATCTTCTCTTCCAAAAGGCTACTTGTAATTAGAGGCTGAGTGCTCACAGGTTTGAATTGTATACTCCTTAAGCCAAGTTAATCATCAACCGGGCTCTTTCCCCTCGACAGAACAATTCAGCCGGCGTGCCCAGAGCACCGTCCCCACAGCCGCCCGGAACACATCTGCCGGCCGGAGTGTGTGCCCAGCTGCGGTCACACCAAAGCTGAGAGTCCTCGGGAAGCAAACACAGAGTCCTAAGGGGACTGCCACGCTTCCGTCACCTGTGCGGCTCGGCAAAGCCCGAAGGTGCCACTCAGCACCACTCTGCCCCTGTGCAGGCCACAGGTGGCCCGTGGTTCGTACACAGTCTGCCACCTCTGTGTTCGGCAAAAAGGGAAGATAACAGGAATCCCGGAGACATCTCCAGACTCCAGACTTCCTGGTCCCTTAATCCAGAGGCAATGACTGAGCTCACAGCAGGACCGAGCTGAGCTGATGGTGACACTGTAACTTCCCCTGGGTGGCCCCTGAAAGGCAGCAGCTTTGAACAACAGGACGGATTTGAGTTTCTAACGTAAAAGATACTTCCCTTACAGTAGCACAGGCGGCTCAAACAAACAGACATCTTTCCATGGCCCTTTCATCTTCTCTTTCAAAACACCGCTACAGGAGTGCAAAGACCCATCGGAGGGGTTTCCAGCCTGTTGGGTGAGATCCCGCAGCAGAGCGGAGGCCAGGGGTGCAGAACTGGAGCCCTTCCAGTTGCACAAGGAGGAACTGGCATCGGAGCAGCCCCGGGAGCATGGAGACAGCCATGAAGGTAGAGCGGTCACCGAGGGTCCTCCTCTTTGACCAGAGGACACAGCACCTCTCCCAGCTCGGCTGACTTGAAGGCTGAGGGGCGTTCATCAGATACCGGATTTCCCCAGGTGTTTCTTTACGATGCCTGGACCCCATTCGGCCAGAGCACACGACTGAGGACAATTCGTGCGCGTGTTACATGCTGACACTGTGACACAGGTGAGGCCCTGGCACCCAGGGGTGCATGGCAGGATCCCCAGTGGACACCTCCAGGGGAAACCAAGTCAATGCACTCACATGAGAACACACCCTCACCCCTCAGGTGTGCCTGCGCTGGGAGGCAGGCAGGGTGGGCGCACGTCCCACGCAGTCCCGCAGCCACTTTTGGATGGTCACCTGCCGCGCCGTCCCCACACCCCCACCTACAGGTCTCGCCTCCGCCGCCCGCTTATTCGGTCCCCAGCCAAGTTCCAAAGACCCAGAGCGCGACCCGCAATCGACCCCGCAGGGCAGCCCACCCTCCCGCCAATAAGCACCCGCCGCCCCCGCGCCGGCGCCTGGTCCTCACCAGCTGCTCCTGCAGCGCCGCCAGCGCCGCCTCCAGCCGCAGCTCCTGCGCGCGGGGCCGCGGGGCGGCGGGCCCGGCGGGCTGCGCGGCCAGGGCGCCCGCACGCGCGCCTGCTGCGTGGCGCGCAGCCCCTGCAGCTCGTGCGCCGCGAGCGCCGCGCGCAGCCGTGCGCCCACCCTGCGCCGGTCCCAGCCCGCGGGAGGGCCGCCCGGCGCCCACATCCCTGGGCCTCTGTGGTCCCCGCGGCGCCGCAGACCAGCGCGGACGAGCGAGCGCAGCGGCGCGCCCGGCCTCTCTCCCCGCCCCGCGCCGCGGGTCGCCGGCCCGGACCTATCGCTGGCGCGCGGGGCGGCGTCGGCGCACGCCCGGGTCGTGGCGGGCCCCTGCGGGTGCAGGCTGGGCCGGACCGGACCCGGACCCGCCCGGGTCGCAGAGGGGCTGTCCCATGCAGGCTGGGCGGACCGGGGGACCCCCTCCGGAGGGCGCGCGGGGCACTCAGAGGGGCGGCGGGCCTAGCAGGAGCCGAGGGAGGGAGCTGAGAGTGTGGCAGAAACCCAGAAAGGGTTTTACATTTTTTTAAAAGGTAACTTCTTGGAAACACATCACATCGTGCAGAGCTTGTTACAATGTAAACGTAATATACCTTTGAAAGTTGCCCTAGGTTTCATCGCGGTGCGGTTCACATAGCATGCAACTCCAACATTTTAGAGTGTACAGTTCAAGAGTGTTTGGTCTATGCTATTTTAGTGTACATATGTAGGCATTAGTTTATCCGACATCACCACGCTGTCGGAGCGCTCTCACCAAGCCCGGAAGAAGCCCTGTGCTTCTCAGTAGTCGGCCCCTCCCCCATTGCCTTGCCTCCCACGTGGCTCTCTGCCCCTTCTGGACCTGCCCTAGGGCCTCCTGGTGACCGCTTCCTTCAGTGAGCTCAGTGTCTTAGGTGAGTCCCTGTTGCAGCAGGTGTCAAATTCCTCCCTTGTCACTGCGAATAATACTCCGCTGTATTTGTTTATCTATCACCTGTCGATGGGCCTTTGAGTGGTTTCCACTTTTTAGCTGTTATAAACGGTGCTCCTGGGACGTTTCTGTATGCATTTTTGCGTGGGACATATGTTTCCGTGTCACTTGGATGCATACCTGAGAGTGGAAGTGCTGGACCACAGGTGTCTGCTGCCTTTAACCTTTTGAAGAACTGTCAGTCTACTAGCCCTGGCCCTGACCCTGACCCTGACCCTGACCCCTAACCCTAACCCTAACCCATTGCCGTTCCCACCAGCAGGCTGAGGGTTCCATTTCCTCCTGTGCTTGCCCGCAGTTGTACCTTGGTGAGGGCCACTCTAGCGGGCGTGAGGTGGCATCTCATTGGAGTTTGGGTTTGCGATTCCCTGGGGGGGGGTAATGCTAGTCACTTGGGTATTGTTCATCTTCTTTGGAGAAGTATCTGTTCCGATCCTTTGCCTGTTTTTTGAACTGGGCTGTCTTTTCATTATTGAGTTGTTAAGTCTTCTTGGTGCAGTGCCCTTAGATGTGATCTGCAGTTCCCCGATGAGGTTCATGATTGGCACAAAACATTTCTATTCTGTGGGTTGTCCTTTCATTGTCTTGATAGCGTCCTTTGAAGCAAAAAGATTTTGATTTTGATGAAGTGCAGTTTACCTATTTTTTTATTTTCTTGCTTATGCGTTTGGTGTCATTTCTAACAAATTCAAAGTCGAAGATTAGGCCTATGTTTTCTTCTAAGATTTTTGTGGTTTTAGCACTTGCCTTTAAGTCTTTGATGCATTTTGAATTAATTTCTGTACATGTTGTGGTAGAGGTCTCACTTCATTCTTCTGCCTGTGACGATGCACTTGTCCCAGCACTATTTGTTGAAAAGACAATTCTTTCCCTGTTGACTTGCCTTGGGACCCTTGTTGAAAATTACTTGATCCCGAAATCAATTTCTGTTTCTCAATTCTATTCCTTGGGTTTACATGCCTGTCCTTATTGGCCATGCCACACACACTCTGTCCCTTACTGTAGCTGTGTGGTAAGTCTGTAGGAAGTGTGGGCCTTGCAACTTTGTTCTTTTTCAAGATTTGTTAGGGCTGAATATGTGTCCCTCACATTCCATATGAATTTTAGGATCAGTTTGTCAATTTCTGTAAAGAAGCTAGCAGGAATTTTCATGGGAATTGCATTCAATTTGTAGAGCAATTGCAAATAATGCTACCTTCAGCTTAAATGCTTTGGACCATAAACTTGTCTTTCCATTTATTTAGGTCTTCATTAATTTCTTCCAGTGGCGCTTTGTTGTTTTCAGTGCACAAATCTCACACTTTTTTGTTAAGTTTTTTTCTAAGTTCTTTATTGTTTTCAACACTATTGTAAGTGGAGTTGTTTTCTAATTTTATTTTCAGAATGTTCATTGCATAAAAATATGATTCTTGAATATCGACCCTACTACTTTGCTGAACTTGTTTCTTAGTTCTGATAGTTTGGGTTTCCTTCTCGGATCCCTTTGCATTTCCTGTCTATAAACTCATGTCATGTGCAGAGAGAGAGAGTTTTACTTTTTCCTTTCTGATCCGAGTGCCTTTTATTTCTTTGTCATGACTAATCATCTTGGCTACAACATCTAATACAATGATGACGGGGACAGTGAGAAATAACAGCCTCGTGGTCTTGTTCCTGTTTTTAGGAGGACACTCACTCTTTCACAGTAAGTCCGGCACTAGCTGGGGTGTCCTTAGATGCCTTTATCAGGGCGGGGAAGCTGCCTTCCATTTCTAGTTTTCTCTGAGTGTTTGTGTGTTTGTCATAAAGCAGTGTTGAATTTTTCAGCTTATCTTATGATTCCTTTATTTTCTCCTTCATCCTCTATGTTTATCTAGCCAAGAGGCAGAGATAGACAGAGAGAGAGGGAGAGAAAGAGATGGGGGAGAGACTGGATATGGGCCCTTTATCAGTTCTGTGTCTTCTGCTTGTCTGTGGACTATCTTAAGGATGTCTTTTGGTAAACAGAAGTTCTTGAGTCTTACTTATCCTCAGTCTTTTTGTGCCCTTTTAAAGAAATTTTTGCTCACCTATGCTCATGAAGATAGTATTTAATGCCCTCTGTTAGAAACTTTATTACTGTGCTTTTCTTGCTTAGATCTGCAATCCACCGGGCACAGGAAAGTGGACCCCAAACTGGGGTCCACCCAGAACCCTAAAAGCATCCTTGGCTTCATGCAGCAAAGAATTCAAGCAGGAGCCTCAAGTTGGAAGCAAAAGCGAAAGGTATTAAACAAGCGAGCAGCGGGCAGGCTACCCCACAGATAGAGCAGTCCTGGCACACTGCGTCCAAGCCCTATTTCTGGCTGTCTCTCAATTATGTACTAAATGAGGGTGGCTTCTTCATCGGGTTTCTGGGAAAGAAGCAGAGATTTCCAGAAATCGGCTGTTCCTCCTCTTTTTGTACCAGAAAAAGTCACTTCTGAGGTTGTCATGGTGATTGCGAACTGTCACCGTGCTGGTAGGAGTTTCTCTTGGTGTGCTGATACATTATAAACAGAGTGTAGTGGGCAGAAAGCAGCAAGCAGAGGTTATTTTTGTCACCATCTTGGTTCCAGCTGGCCCTAACTGGGCTCCTCACAGGTTCCTGTTCTTCTCGGAGACCTGGGTCTGCGGCTCCTTAAGGGGTGGGACCTGCCAGATTCTTGTCTCACACCTGGAACAGCTTTTTGAGTGTTGTGTGAGGTGGGGGTGGATGGGGGTTTCACAATTTACTTGTTTTTAAACATATTCCAGTGCAGTGTTTATTGGGCAAACGGTCCTGCAGTGCCAGCTTTGTTATAAGTGAAGTGTGTGCGTATATTTGGGTCTGGTCTGGACTTCATTTTCTGTTCGATTAGTGCACCTGTCTATTCTCACCATTATTTTACCTTTACATAAAGTGTTGATTTTCAGTAGAACAAGTTCTGCCACTTGTTCTTGAAGGGTGTCTTGAGTATCCTAGGGACTTTGCAATATTATGTAAATTTTAGAATCGGCAAGTAAATCTCTACAAAAAGCCCCTTATATTTTGGTAGGACTATATCGACTCCATGGGTGCACCTGGGGAGAAATTATATCTTTACAATATTGAGTTTTATCATCTGTGGATGTGGAATACCCCTTTATAAAGGCTTTCTGTAATGTCTCTAAATATTATTTTATAATTTCCTGTGTAGAGGGCTTGTACATATTATTTCATTAGATTTGTTCCTGCTTTCTTAATTTTTTAATGCCACTGTTGATGTTACCCTTTAAAAATGCATTGGGTTTTTTTGTGCTGATATAAAGAAATACCCATAAGGCATCTAACAGCTTTGCTAAACTTACTTCCTCATTTGCATACTTTATCTATAGATTCTTTTTGATTTTTTTCCATGCATGTTCACATTATCTGTGACTAATGGTGGTTTTCTTTCTTTCTTTCTGATCCTTACACTTTTTATGTGTTTTTCATGCCTTATTGCAGTGGCTACAACCTCAAGTAGAATGTTGAAAGGTGATAATATCAAGCATCCACGTGTCACTTTTAGGGGCTGTGAGAAGCTATTCAATGTTTCATCACAAAAATGATGTTGTGTGTGTTCTGTAGACACCCTGGATCAGATTAAGGAAATTGCCCTTTATTCCTGGAATGGATATTGAACTTCATTAAATGTATTTGCTAAGATATTGATGGGACTATATTATTTTTTTCTCCTTTTTTTCTATTAATTTCGTAAATTATGTTGATTGATTTACAAATAAAAAGCCAGCCTTGCATTTCTGGAATAAACCAACCTGGTTGTAACATACTTTCTTATTTATATATTGCTAGATTTAGTTTGATAATATTTAGTTTTAGAGTTTTGCCTCCGTATTCATAAGTGAAAGATTAGTTCATCATTCCTCCTTCTTGTATATTCAAGATTTTCAGAATCAGTGGCATGCCAGCCTCCTAGAATGAGTGAAAGTATTCCATCTTTTGATATTCTGTGTAAGAATTTGCATAAAATTTAGGTCATTTTATTCTTAAGTATTTGGAAGAATTCATTAATGAAGCCACTTGTGTGTACCTGTATTTTCTTTATGTAACAATTTTAAACTATGAATCCAAGTTCTTAAGTAGCTGTATAATTTATTCATACTTTCTATTTCTTCTTGTGTCAGTTCATTACAGTTTTATTATTCCATAGATTTTTTTTTTTTTTTGCATTTTACCCAC